TCAGATAGGTTGCCGCTAGAAAGAAAAGAAGACCTTTTTTGGACAGTTGAGTATCTTTCCCTGTTGTTAGTTCACTCCCGTGTCTCCAGGTGGTTGTGTCACAATGACTGGGAAATACTTGTACACAACACAACCTCTCGTCTGGTGGCAAGGAAGTAAATATCTTCTCTATCCACACGTGTGTGTGTGTAAGTGTGTGTGGAATCCTGCACAAATCAATGGGACAGGAGAGAATGTAGTGTGGATTAAAATGAGTCTGATGGTTTCCCTTAATATATACTCTTTAAGTTTTTCAAATGCAACAGCATGATGCTTAACTCCCTTTCACATTCTGACTGTGCCTTGCGCACTGCATCAATCGATCATAGCTCGGCCCTGCATGGAGTATTGATGGACAACTTAAATACTTCCCTCTCCCTCTATTTTTTTAAATGAAACACGGATAATTAAGCAATGCACTCCGCAAGTTGAAGGCTGTATGTCTTTCATAAAGAACCAATAATGAATAAAAAGTGCATTAACCAAATTAAACTGTTGCATGCCTCTAGCTCTGTAACAGGCTCAGCTTTTACGAGTTTCATTACAGGAGAGCAGAGTTCTGTTAATCAACGGCTCGAGCAGGAAATGTCCATGGATTTAAGAGGCTGCTCCGACTGATGGCCTGCGTTGTTGAGAGGATGTAAATATTATGGTGGCTGATTGAGGCACTCAAATCAGGCTTGGACGCCAGCATCTCCTTTACCACAAAGAAATCTAATAAAAATGCATTTATAAAAATGAAGTGTTTTTTTAAGTGAGTCGCTACATGAAAGCGATGTAGGAGATGAATAATATACGTAAGAAAGTTCTTGGAATCATTGTAGATCACAAGCTGAATGGGAGCCGACAGTGTGATGTGGCTGCAAAAAAAAGCCAATACAATTTTAGGCTGCATTAACAGAAGTCTAGTCTCCAAATCCTGCGAGGTTGTAGTTAGGCCTCAACCATGAGTATTGTGTCCAGTTCTGGACACTGCACTTGAAGAAAGATGGCAACAAACTGGAGCACGTTCAGAGGAGGGCAGTCAGGATGATCAGGGGACTGGAAACCAAGCCCTAGGAGGAGAAACTGGGCATGTTTAGCCTTGAGAAAAGAAGACTGAGGGGAGATAGCCGAAAACTTTTCAAATACTTCAAAGGTAGACATACAGAGGAGAGGCAGTATCTGTTTTTGATCATCCCAGACTGCAGGACACGCAACAAGTGGCTCAAGTTACAGGAAGCCAGATTTCTGTTCAATATCAGGAACATCTTCCTAACTGTTAGAGTAGTACAGCAAAGGAATTAATTACCTATGGAGGGGTTGAGTGCTCCAACAGAGGAGACGTTTAGACTGCTGGACCTGCTTTGAGATGGATTCCATTATCAAGCAGGCCATTGGAAACCATGGCCTTTATCCAACCCTGTTATTCGATGATTCTGTAATTTTACCCTTTCCAGATTTTGTTTGTGGAAGGTTGTCACCCTTTTCCATTCCTTGCTGAATGTCCTGCTTTAGAAGTGCTTTTGTTCACTGGAGAAGCCTGCCTGGTTCAATTCGGTGGAGGCCCTTTGGACAACGCACCACCGGGAGTCTGCGCATGGGCATGCGCCATGCCTCCGCACCCACCACCACAAGCAAGAGCTTCGGCGGAAGAAATAACACTGTCAAATTAGTGCTTGCATCGTGTGTTTCAATCAAAGCATTTTGATCCTTGTTTCTGCAAGATAATCCTAAGAAGTTCTTATTTTGAGAATAGGAGACCGTGATGGATTTAATTCATAAAGGGAGGCAGCCGCAAGGAATGTAAATGTAAGAGTCTGATAAGGTAGGATTTCCTAGTTGCTATGGTAACCCACGGGTCATGAGCCTGAGAAAATAAAGTGAGTCCTGAAGCAGGGAAGATGATTATAAAATTTAACTGTCATTCTTCATTTAGAGTTGATGGCAAACATTATTTACCTAAGTTTATCTGCTGGCAGGCAAAGATCCTTTTCTTTTCTCCAAAGGAGGAATACGGATCCGCGTGTTGGACATCTTTGACATGAAGTTAGCCCTGTGTTTATTATTCTAATCAGGGAATTGCTACATGATATCCTGGTAGATTTTGTCACTGTTCTTTTTTTTAAAAAAAAAAAGAGCCTGAGGGTTTTATCTTGTAAATCCAATGGAGCAAAGATTTTGTAATATATCTTGGTGCTGTGTAATGGCACCCACCCACCCACACACACACAGAGAGAAGAGAGGGCTGTGCTGTCTGGAACATTTGCCCACTATCAGTGTTTCTTTTCGCTGGGGTGCAAGCTAATGTGCAAGAAAAGGAGGAAACACATTGGCGTGATTGGGCCTCCCTTTCTTGGCATTGGAATTACATTCCCTGGCAAGGTCACATCCGCACTTCTGCCAACAAACGCACGAAAGGGAGTGTGTGCATTCCTGTAACGACCGTCATAGCCTGTCTGCTGTATCCTAGAGTTACTACTAATTCATCCGGTGGATTGGAGCCTTTGCGGTCCTCCTGGGGCAGGGTTGGGGCATCAGATCTTGCCTTTGTTGGACACACAGGCGGTGTGGCCTCTGGCAACTCTGTGTGGTCTGTACCTCCAAGAGGTATGTTGCCACCATTTGTGTTCTCAAACAATAGGTGATTTGTTGGACACGACAGCCCTTTGCAGAAGTAAGATTTTGTTGACCTCGTTGACTCTCGCTATAGTGGGGCTTGATGCTGATTTATCCGGGACAAGCCTGTGATTTCTTGGATTCCTTTGGAAACAAAACCCTATTTAATTGGCTGCCTCACCATCTTCCTAAAGCCCATCTTTTTTTTTTTTCAGAAGAGCGTCGGAGTTGGCTAACTTTTAGGTATGAGCTCAAGTAGGGAATGCATTGTTGGGTTCGGCCACCAGGATGCTTTCATCCTGCACGTGGTAAAGATTTACTTAAGTCGGAAGAGTCTCCCATCCTTCTCCTCTTGTCTCAGGGCCTGCCACTTAGGCTAAGCTTATCTAAGTTCTGAAAGTGGGCTTCCATATCTCTTAGGAATGGCTAAGTCAGCCATGGTGGCTACACAAGTTTGGTTTTTAAGATCTTGAGAAATTCAGGAAATTCGGTTGGCAGAAACCCACTCCAGACACATTCAAACATTATAAACAGCAAGTTATTTTTGCCCGTTTAAATCATCTTGACATGTTTCTCTTTCTCTATTTATAGCTGAAATTTAATGTGGATAAAATGAAAACTCTTACATTTGCCAGCAAAAATGCACTTCAGCTAGCTAATCTGAAATCCCAAATTCCAATCAGAAGGGAATTACGGTGGGTTTTAGAGAACAGATTACTCCTTAACATGCCTCCTTTTTGTCTGATTTAGCTCGCCTAACTGCACTCTGTAAGTGTTTAAATATTAAGTCAAATGTTATTTCCTTCCATGGTTGGTATAACATTTCCAAACGAATGCAGAGGGGGGATTTCAACACCTATTTCCATATGAATGAGTATCCAGATTTGAGAAAAATTGTGGGCCGCCCTTTCTGCGCTCTTCCTTCACCTCTATCAGGAAGACCGATTACACGGCTGTTGGTGATTTTCCAAGGCCATCTTGGACAATGTTCCTGTTCAATGAGGCTGCATAAACCAACCCAAGAAAAAAAGACCTATAGGTCAAGCAGCAAAAGCAGGCAGGTTGTGATACAGAATTTACAAAATAACACCATCCTAAACGGAGGATAGCCAGGTGAGCTTTTTCTTAAACAAAACATAAATAGAGATTGCCAAGCGTGACATCTTAAGGCTTTACCATCCATTTATTCCTAAAATTGTACCTTACTGAGTTCTGTTACGGTCATTTTCGTGTGTAACCATTGGCTTTTCGGCTCCCTTGCTGATTACTGCCCTTCTGCCTAACCTCCTAAAAACGCCTTAGGTGTGCTTCTGCATGCAGATGTTCAGAAAGGACAGAGAACAGTAAGTCGTAGTTGAAGGGGCAGTGACAGATTTGTTGAATTTTGAGTTTTCCTTGTGGAGTACAGAAACGGGAGGCATTTCAATATATTTGGCCCTCCTTTCTTAATCTGCAGAACTCCACAGCATCCTTCAAAGTCATAAACAGATACACAATGAAGTTCCATACTTGAAACATGGATGTGTTTTTGTAATCTGAGCCCAAGTCTGCCAATTTTATTTATTTATTTAACTTATACGCCGCCCGCTCTACCCAAAGGTCTCTGTAGCCCAAACCTGCCGGAAGCCAGCTGTTTACCCTTCCTCTGAGAAACTGGAGGGATGCGCTCTGGCAGGCCTCCAGGTCTGGGGAAGAATCCCCTCAGCGGGAAGTGTTATGAAGGAGTCCAGGCCCCTCATGGGAACCTGCTGTGGCTCTGATGGCAAGGGGTAGCATTTGGAGCAAGGCCTCTTGCATCAATCTCGGACTGCAAGAATGCTCAAGGAGGTCTTCCAAGAGGGCCGTGACCAAATAATGCAGTGAGGGCAGGGACTACTTTGCAAGTAAACAGATGCCCATTGTTGTTCAGTGTGTCATTGTAGCAGGCGGTGTCTGGATCCAAACCACATCCTCAACCGATGAGTAGAGTTGAGGGTTTCCTGCCTCCCTGTCCTTGTGACCTTTTGAAGGCCTAGACTGGGAAGGCTGGCAGGCTACGTTCGATCTAGCTCCACCCAAACTCCCTGTTCAAAAAGAAAGTTCCCAGGTAGCCATAGGGCAGGAACAGGAAGCTTGGGTGCAACTAGGCCTAGCTAGGCCTTAAAGCTGTCCCGTTTAGGCCTTTTCTGTCAGGCGAGCCACATTTATGCTATCTGCAAAGTATGTGTGTAAGCCAAGTATAAACACAGAGCATACGCTCTAAACCAGTAAGTCAAATAGAAGCAAACCCCATTCCTAGCATGTAACCGGGAGCCAGCATGTCCTGGAGCCTCCTCCCTATACCCACCCACCCCCCACACTGTAAAACCACCTTCTTTCCTTACCTTCCATTCAATGTCTGGGGAAAGTGCCATTTACAGAGGGAACTTGCGCGTCTGGTTCCTGGTGTGTACTGTTACACGTGCTCATTACATCTCTGCTCTCTCTAGTCCTGCCAAGGTTTTGTTTGCCCTGCCTTGTATGGTTCCAGGTGTCCCAATACAAGTGGCCGGGGAGGGGAACAGGCGGAGGGCTCTTCTGGTGGGGGTGGCACGCGATTAGATTTTTGGAAAGGCTGCCAAAGTCAATGGTAAACAACTTGTCAGATGCAGCTGCTGAAGTTAGCAGCTCTGGCGGCCGCTTCAAAATCTCCGGAGCATGCCCGTCTTTTTCAGAGAGGTGAATTCGTTTCTCTCTTTTGAGTTAATCCTGGCAAAGATCCGTTGGTTGGTGTGTACGTGGGTGTGGGTGTCTTCGTATTTAGGGCAGGCAATTCAGGTTGTGTGACGTTTTGAGTTCCTTTCAAACCCACCTCTCCGTGATGCTGACAGTTCTTCATTGCTCAAGCATGCAGGTTCACTTAGTGTTCAGCAGAGAATGTTCCTTTATTCAAGAGAAGGAGGGGGTGGATGAAGAGCCACAGCTATAGAGTCTGCAAGCTAATTAAACTGGGGCGTGGGGGAGCCTCCGTTTTCCCATCAGCTCTCTTGACAGGTAACCCAGACGGTGCATTTGTTTGCTTTTAGCATGCTGATGTACTCTGACCTGACAGGAATCTGGCTGCAGTCGTGGTCTCTCCCCCCTGCTCACGCCTTTAGACATGGAGATTCCAAGCACTGTTGTTTAAAATCCATGCGCCCCCCAACCCCACCCCAGGAATTGCTCCGATCAGGCAGGCTGATGGCTGCACCCCATGCACTTCTGCCAGAACAGGCCGCCTCTGCACTGCCTGGCCAAGAGCGTTAGCAAAACTCCTCGTGCAGTTGGGCACCCAACTGATGAATGCACAAGAGAGGTTTCTGAGTCCAGAAGGCAGCTCCTGAGAGGCAGTGCATGTGTGATAACACAGGTGATTTAGGGACCTGCAAAAATCAGAGCACTTTTGGAGAGCAGGGGCAGGTTCCCCTGCATTCCTCTTTCGACAGGATTCGGGTCTGCTAAGGGTGCCTTTTGTAAAGGGGTGTGCAAAAGCATCTGGTGTGTCGGGCCAGTCCGTCCGCTTTGCCGCCACTGCCGTTGCCATCAATTATGCGTGAACATATGGAGCTAAATTTGCTCACAAGATGAGGCAACTCGTTGACTCCAGAAGGAAAGTTTTCTGAGCGAGCGGGGTCCATCTGTCTTTGAAACGGTAATTAAGCCAGACAGTCACCTTTTGCCCAAAACGCAGAGGGAGGTTTTGTGGACGAGGCCGGCGCCTCCTGCTGCCCTTCTTCAGGAAGGACGATGCTGGACGGAAGCACGAGCGCGCGTGTGTGGCTGAAGACTCCTCCCCACTGTGCTCGTGGCCTGCCTCCTGGCGTTGCTGTTCGGGTGGCGTCCCCACGGGCCATGGCCATTTCGTGGGTGAAGCGCCACTGACGTCTTCATATTTGTGTTGCTTTGGCAGGAGAGCAGGTCATAGGGGGTGTCTGGATGAGATGCGCGCCAGGGCTTCAGTTCAGGAAGAGGGTGTAAGCAGGTCTGCTGTGTTTACCTATGATGAGGCTCCAGACAGATCGGTGAGGGTGAGGAAGATGCTAGCCAAGGCTTGCGTCAGTTGGCCACATTTCTGTCCCCATTTCACCTCTTGTTGGGTGGGGGGTATGAAAGGAGGTCGTGGTGTGTGGAAAAGAGAGTGTTGGGATGGAGAGACAAGACCGTGTTCTCTGTGCAAGCCATCAAAACCTACATGGCATATGCTCTAAACCAGTAACTTAGGGTCACCTCCTACATTCTCGTACGGGTTCCAACAGTTCAGTTGGCCAAGAGGACGTGGCTTTTGATTGGGAAGGTAAGAACAAAGATAAGAGGTTTCTGTTCCTTACTAATTGAGTGCCTGTAACTGGGTGTCAGCGTTCCTGCTGCTCCCTTCCCAGCTTTTTGTGTTGTCTGATATTAAGAGGTGGTATTGTCCTTGAAAGCAACCGAGGAACAGTTACAGGGAAATGGCCCTTGATTTGCTCTGGTGGCCAGTTCTGACCGAGCACCTTGAAAATATGCACCAGAGAAGAAACGAAGGAGTGCCTTCTCCTGCTCTTTGAGATGGAATAGTGGCATAGGATGTGTGAATGGCTGCCATCCAAGCACAGCTCAAACTGCCTTCAGATGCTCTTTGGAAGGAGCTTTTGAAGGGCGCAAGAAAACTTTACTTGTTACACACAGAGATAACAACTCTGGAGCTACTGGTTGCATGACTAATGAAATGTGACTTAGTTATACGCTTCCAGCCTTGAAAAGTAACTAGTTCTAAGTAAACAAGTTGTTTGCTACTTCCAAGTTGCCCTCGTGACCATATGGGAAAACAACAGCAGAGAGCTTTGGGCCCTTTCTGACTAATCATTTAATTATTACCCCCCCCCAAAAAAAAACCCCACAAGGGTCATGTTTAGGGTCTTTGGAGTGTTGCAAGACTGGGCGGTGATGTTGGCTGCAAGCTAGGACCAAACAGAGAGATGATGTCTCTTTAGCAGTCGAGTTTGGAGAGTGGCGTGTGATGGTATCAGACTGCATTTAAGCCAAGAAGGGGAGGCAGAGAGACGGAGCACGGGGGGTGGGGGGGCAATCCGTTGTTCCCTTTGTAAGCGAAAGGGCACGCAAAGTGAGCACTTCGGGGAGGGTTCGGTTTGCGGGGAATTAGAATAAGTCTATCTGATTTTCTTTCACTCGTGACCTTTAAAGATGCTGCTTTTAGATTGATAAGCAGGCTGATGCCTTCAGTAACCCAATCCCAAATTTGTTTCATATATTAGTCTTTTCCGTATCTTTCAAACCCAGCTGATACTACTTCCACAAAAGCTGCTCCCCCGCTTTTTCTTTTTAAACTCTGTGAAGGCTCAGGAGAAAGGAACGCAGTGATTATCTCTTATCTGTTGCACAAAAGGTAAAATTGGAGTTTCTTTACATTAAATTAGGGGTGTGGAGAATATGCCTTGTGTTCATCTCCTTTCTCTCTCTCTCTCTCTCTTTCTGCTTTTCACCCGTAACAGCTCCCCAGGTGTCTGGATGCGGTTCTTCTTAGCTTTTTCCTCTCATCCCCGTCCCTTTTTGTTTAAGCTTCCACAACCAGATCATTCCAACGTACCGAGGAGCCTACATGGCTGTCCGTGTTGTGTGATGGGTGGTCAGTCTATGTCACGCGTGCAAATTGCTCCTCCCAGTCTCCGCCATTGTGTTTCCTTATGATGGGCAGCTTGTGTGTTCACACGGAGTTGCCAAGAGAGCTGTAGATTCGAGCACACGGTAAAAAGAGGGGCCCGGCCCGGTTAGAAGCCCTTGTGGTTGCACATTGGAGGCGGTCGCCCACAGTTTTGAGTAACATTGATCTCGAACATTACGCGCTACTTAGGGGGGTCAATAAACTCTCTTCGACAATAACCTGCCCAGCCGCTTGTGGCGAGATTTCGACGGCTCAATTAAATAGCCGACGTGAAGGCTGGTTCGTCTTGAACCTTCAGCAACAATAGCAAATGGAGTTGTCACTGATGAAAATGAAAATGATGCAGAGGCCGCTGTGCTTTGCCGTGCGCCTCTTTATTGATTTCGTGACGGGGACTGAGAAATGATTCAGCGTTATTGGGTGTTGGCAAAATCTGTTTGAGTCGCTTTTCAATTAAGTGAACCGAACTGTACTTGAAGCCATCCATTATCCATCAAAAATAGATATGCTTTGATTTTGATCATCCCTTTCTGGCCGCCTGAGTCATTCGTATTCCAACGGTTGGTTGTGGAGTTGTTTTCAAGGCATCCTTGTGTCCTGCTTGCCCTTGACTTGCTCTCTCTGTCAAACCCGGAGCCACTGAAGCTGGGGGTTGAAGAGGAACCCTATGTAGGGACTCCAAGCTGGATGTGCTAATCTTTACATTATGCCACTCTGTTGGAGGATGGGGCAGGTGGCAAGGCTACGTGGTTGGCTTCGGCACATGTGATGGAAGTGTCTTCCAGGTGGACCTCAAGCTTACCAACCACCCACGTTACCAGTCTCCCCCGGGCCTTCCTGTCTGCAACAGGAGCACCGCTTAGACAGCAGATGGACTTCTCAGGAAGGGAGCTCATGAACCTTCGGCTTCTCTGTCTCTCCCAATTGCTTACCGTCCCCCTCCGCCGCCAAACAGTAGGGATTGCATGACTGACCCCCACATTTCCCACCCCCCCCCATCATATCTGCTTGGCCTTGAGGTTCCTCCCGAGGCAGCCTTAGTCAGATTCTTCCTTGGGAAGCTGAGCTCTGATACCTCCCTTTGTGGACTGCAGGGAGTCCTAGAAAAGTAAAACCGACTCACCTTATCCCAAACGTCCAGCAGAGACGGGTCCATCTCCTGTAAAGAAGTCAGGCAGAGCATCCAAGCAGAGGCTATGGACTGAGTTAGCTATATGTGGGTCATATTTTTAGCATTGCACCCCTCAAGTGCCTTCTCCCTCCCTGCCCACCAGCTTCATCATGCAAGGGAGAGCTTCCATAACTGCATTATCGCAAAGACCAATTTGCTTCCCCAGCCTCTTTATTGAAACTGAGCCGGTCCTGATTTGTTGCTTGGGTCTGAAACTTGATTATATTAAGTGGCTCCTGGCAGTTTTCAGAGGCAATGAGTGACAGCTTTAATTCTACCCATTGTGTTGGATCCCCTTTCCATTTGCATCGTCCTGCCTCTGTCTGGGTCCCTGGGCATATTTGGCTTGATCGCATTATCTGCAGTAACCCTTGGCTTCTTGCTGGATGGCCACCGCGGGCACCATTTTCCCCAAGATGCCTGATTTCTGTCGCTAGTTCTGTAATCAGCAGGGTCTAGTTCTGTTTTTCTTCTTCGTCTTTTCTTCTTCTTCTTAGTTTTTTTTTTTATTTTAGAAAAGTGAGAAACTGCAGACCCCATAAAATCATATGATTCATGATTCTCTTTGTTTTAATAATGTAACCTAAACTAAGAAGTCATTCATCACAGCTGTAAAAATTGTTTATGGCTGTCTCAATGAGTGCCAGAGGAAACTCACTCCCAGCCCCGAAGAGGAGGGGGGGGAAACAAGAAACCCTATATATCCATGATTGATTCCATTCCAGATGAGCTTTTTCATATCCTGACAGGATTACGTAGAGAAAAAAAAAACTCCCCCACCTACCCCGATATTAAAGATGTTAATTTTGTAGACAGACACATTCCCTTTTGCGCTGCTGCTTTTCTCAGCAAATTCTACGTGGAGATGTGTTTCATCATTCACACCATCATCCAAAGCTGGCTGACCTCCGTTCCCTCTTTGCACCTTTCGTTCTTCTGGGGGAACAGGATCCTCCTTCCCTCGTCAGAAACGTCTTGGTTCCTGACTCGGAGGTAACCTCTCTCTCCTTCCTCTCCATAGTCCTCTTCCTCTTCTGTGTTTCGGCTTTCCCTGTAGAAGGAACGGATGGAGGGCCACGAGATCTCCTTTGAGGTGTGATGTCAAGAACTCTACCTGGGCAATGGCAGGGGCTCTAGCTGTAGTTGCCTCAGACCAACGGCCACAGGGTGTCAGGCCACCCCCGTTTTGGCTTTAGACGCTGGTCCAGACTGGCCACCTTTTGAGAAAATGTTGACTTTTCTGCCACTTACTCATCATGGCAGGTAGTGGCCCTAAACCCTACCTGGGTGCCTCAAAACATACCCTGGTGTAATAAGAAAAGACACGTAGATCCAAGCCTGATTCCCTTGACACTCCCGAATCATCTTTCATCTTCACCTAATTGAGGGGAGAGGTTTAACATGCACAACTTTTGAATGGAAGGACATCTTTTTTGACTTTAGAAGTAGCGAAATCCGTATCCTTTCTTTGCCTCCCCCCCCCCATCAGCCTATCTTTCATTGGGTTTGGGGGGGGCGGATTCCTCATCCCTTATGCTAA